GCTATGACTACATGGATCCTACCTTATTCACTTTGAAGATCTCCTGCTTGCTGACTTGTCCAGCTTGATGCTCATTAGCAAAGACACACAACTGACGTTTCATAAGCACTCCATGTGCTTATGAAGCTCACAGATCCACCTAAACACCAGTATAGAGCCTCTGCCCATCCAGTAGCCCTGCCTGGACCCAGAAAAAGCTGGAACTCCAAAGCTGTGGGACTTGCAGAGATGCTCCCTAGAGCTACAGTCCTTCCAACTACTGACACAGACATCCTCTCACTCCAGTTGCTGGTACCACAAGATGCTCTAATAACAGATACCCAACACACTCCCCAATTTTACTACTGGAAACAGTGTCCCAGAAATGGTGTTTCATCACTGCCAACACAGGTCATTGTTTTAACTCTTGGCCTGCAATTTCTTCTGCTGCTTTCTCCCTGCCACTGACAGAATTAAAGTTTTGGACTAAGTTTGTCACATACAGCCTCCCGGTGAGTCATGAGAAGCAGAAAGTACACCTTTACTTTCTAAAGTCCTTGTCAGAGAGTGATCCAAAGCAATCATCTACACACTACACAGTGTAAAGCATACCTTTATTGGCACCAGGAGCACGTAGGCATTCGCACCTCCATGTATGTGTCCAGTGAGTGACAATTTTCATGGGGTTTTTACACCCTTGAACAAACAACTTATGAAGTTTTATCTTAAAAAGTCCATTCGTACAGAGTACAGAGTACAGTTTGTGGTTTCCTTATCTAATTGTACATCTGGTTACCTATTCCTCTACTTACTATTATATAGCTGATATAATCAACATATCTTTTAAGGCCAATACATGGCCACTCTTCTATGGTTACTGCTTGTTACGTGCCAAGCTCTTCTCTTGAGCTCATATCTTACCCGTCAGTAGGGCAGGTCCCTATTTGCAAGCGGTTACAAGCTAAACTAGGGGTTACATTTTGCAGTCATTCTCATGGCAAGTGTAGTTAAGTGCTGGAGGCCCTAAGCCTCAAGTCCTTGTTTTAGAAGAGTCTAGGTGAGGCTGGATCCAATTTTAGCCTCAGGCTTGGACAACAGTTTATGTCTAAAGGATTATACAAGGTGTAATTGGTTCTTTGTACAACTTGTCCTGCAGGATAAAGGATGACAAACAAAATGTGTTTATAGTATTTATATTTATTTATACTTAAAATATTTATGCAAATTGATGACAATGATTAGACTAAAGGACTTGAATGAGAATTATCTAAATTATCTACTGCAAAACATAGAATCATAGAATAATTGAGGTTGGAAGAGACTTCTAAAATGGAGTCCAACCATTAACCCAGCACTGCCAAGTGCCATATCCCTAAGCAACACATCTACACCTCTTTAAATACCTCCAGGGTTCATGACTCAACCCTTCCCTGGGTAGCCTGTTCCAATGCTTGACAACACCTTCAGTGAAGGAAGTTTTCATAATATCCAGTCTAGCTGGCCATTTCCCCCTGTCCTATTGCTTGTTACCTTGGGAGAAGAGACTGGACGCCCCCTGACCGCAATCTCTTTCAAGTAGCTGTGGACAGTGATAAGGTCCATCCTGAACCTCCTTTATTCCAGGCTAAGCCCCAGCTCCCTCAATCACACCTCCTCAGACTTGTGCTCCAGACCTTTCACCAATTTTGTTGTGCTATTCTCTGGAGTGGTTGCAGCACCTCATTGTCTTTTCTGTAGTGAGGGACTCAAAACAAAACAGAGTATTTGAAGGGTGGTCTCAGCAGTGCCAAATGCAGATGATCACTGTCCTGGTCCTGCTGGCCACAATATTCCTGATACAGGCCAGGATGCCACTGGCCATCTTGGCTACTTGGGCACACTGCTGACTCATGTTCAGGTGGCTATCAACCAGCACACCCATGTCCTTTTCCACCACGCAGCTTTTCAGCCACTCAGTTCCAAGCCCACAACATTGCATGGGCTTGTTTTGACCAACGTGCCAAACCCAGCTCTTCACCTTGTTGCACACATTGATCCACTCTGTCTAGATCCTTCTGTGGAACCCTTCTACCCTCAAGCAGACCAACACTCTTACCCAACTTGGTGTCACTTGCAAACTTACCGCAGATGCATTTGATTCCCTCATGCAAATTGTCATCAGATATTAACCAGGACTGGACCCAACACTGAGCCCTGGGGAACACCTGGGGAACTCCGTTCCCCCTCACTCTCTGGGCCCAGCCATCAGCCAGTTTTTTATCCAGTGAAGACTGCACCTGACCAAGCCATGAGCAGCTAGTTTCTCCAGGAGATGCTGTGGGAAGAAGTGTCAGTGATTTTACTGAAGTCCAGGTAGACAACATCCACAGCCTCTCCCTTATCTGCTAAGTGGGTCACTGTCATAGAAGGAGATCAAGTTGGTCAAGCAGGATCTGCCTTTCTGCTGATTGGTCCTGATCCCCAGGTTGTTCTGTGTGTGCCATGTGATGTTCACTCAGGATGATCTGCTCCATGACCTTCCTCAGTGTAGAAAGCTATTAATTCTATTAAACTGCGCTATTTATTAAATCATTCTTTTCAAAGCCAGCTTAATAATTATAAAGGAGAGATTGATGTTGCTAACCCATACTTATGCCCATGGGTAAATCTCTTTCAGTCAGCCCTGAGAATAACTTTAAGAAGCATCCCCACTGAAATGAAGAATCTCTACACACACTCCTAGAAGGGGTGTGCTAGAAATCCCTGCCATAAAAAAGAGGGTTTGGGCTTTTATAGGATGAAGTGATTGACTGTCAGTACTGTGTTGTTAGGCTGGCCATGCTAGTTCAGCAGAATTATTCATTTAAAATAATTTATCAGTACTACCCCTCACTGGTTCCTCTATGAGGAAACATCTGTCAGGAAACTGGTTTCTTCACATCCTCATATTGTTTAATTTTGAGGTGTTTCAGTCAGGCTAGTCTCAATATCCTTCAACACCAAGAGCAGCATGACCATCCTCTCTTCATCACTGGCAGTTTTTGCAAGTAGGGTGATGTTCAAGCAGTTTCACCCCCACTTAAACAGAACATCCTGCTGCACTTACATGTTTCCAAGTTTAGTACTTATGTTAAAAATCTGAAATTATGTTTCAATAAGGATGTTTGAGGCAGGGCTACTGCTACAGATTTCTACTTATCACACTTCACAGCAACAATAGTGAAGTGTAGAGTAATGAAGAGATGCTTCAATCTTTGAATGTGCCTTAAAACTTGTAGGGAGCTTAGAAATTCTACAGTTGAGAAATTAAAATTATGTAATTCAATTTCAAAACTTATTCAGAGACAGCACAAAAATAAAAAACCAAAGAAAAAGCACTTTGTGGCATTTGGCAACTGATCCACAGTCCCACAGCTGTAGAACTGCAGCCAGCAACAATGCCACAAGTGTCATGGGAACTGCGGTCAACAGGGCAAGAGGAAAGAGGTCATTCTTCTCACCATGAATAATACAGATAAACACCATGCCAAATAGCAACAGCCAGAAGCACTAGATACAGAAAAATCTGAATTCGTCATAAACAGCACCTAAACTGAGCTCAAAGAGATTATTCTGAAAGATAAAAGCGAATTTTCTGCAAGCACTGTGGACTCAAGGCATTGGGAAGAGCCATGCTCCACAAGGAATTTTAAAATTCTACTTTCTCATGATATCAAGCAACATTTCAACACTGCTCAAAACAAAAGGAAATCTCCAAGATTGTATTTGATTGCTTGATGGTATCAACCAGGCATGTATTGCTTAAACTTCTCAAGGAAAAACTTATGTTCACTTCTGACAAATAGCTATAAGCCTGAGAAAGTAATTTTTAACAGAAAAGCAAATTATTTGCAGGGAAAAGGCATTAATAAGAGAGAAAGGATTTATCACACAAATTGACCAAATATTCTGTTCAGAAATCTATAGATGAAAGTTTTTCTAATACTACCATCAGACTCCTTTATACAGGAGTATCCTTGCCTCTGTAGCATAGCTCAAGCATGTAACTGAAATACATACCTGTATACGTCTATAGCTCATGCTTTTCTAGTTTTGAGTACTACTATGATGGAAGAGGGTCAGCTAACAATGAAGCAGAGTCAAAAGTTGCTTTTTCTTGGATGGGATGATTTTAGAAAATGCCTACAGCTGCATATTTTCTACTTACTGTCAACACTTCACAGAAACAACAGTGATATTCAGAGAAACATGCTTCAACCTCTGAAGAATCTACAAGTTCTAAGGCACATTCAAAGAACTTACACCTCCAGTAGTTGTAAGACATCCCCTTTTAAAAGTACTGCTCTCTTTATTATTCAACACCTAATGGCCACTATTTGGAGAAAGGTTTACAACCGACATGCAGAATACTGGCTGAAGTGCATTGAATTTCAGCCATGGAGATCTCTCACATACTAGAAGAGCTCTTTGGCATATTTACATTTTATGGAGATCATTTATACCCAGGGTAAAAGCATAATACTAGTTTCAAGATCACAGGAGTGCTTTTAAGAAGTATAGCTTCTCTGGTGAGTGATGAAGTATCCTGCATATGTAAGTTACATTACCAATTCCTCCATTAAATGAGCTACCTTGCAATTCCTCTAAGTATAAAATCCTACAGCTTTTTCGCTCAATATTTCCACTGCCCAGATGCAAAACTGTTGAGAATTAAAACAGAAACACAAATGATAGTCAGAAACATCCTAGTAACGTCTAGCAATCAAATGCGTGAAAAAAAAAAAATCCATTCCCTGTCAGCAAAGGGAAAGTACTAAGGTTCTGTGAAAAACTATGGCTGTAACAGTTTTAAGTATAGCTTAGAAAGACTTGAAGTAATCAAGACAGGTTGAGAAGCTTACACTTTCCCCAACCCTACATTCTTCCTCATTTCTACATCTTCAGTTGCACCAATCAATGTGGTGCTTCAGGGTGAACCAGACTAGACAATAAAATAGCTTCCACAATTTAATTAAAAAAAAAAAAAAAAAAAAATCACTTACTTCAGCAATCTTGATAGTGTGGTTCTTCAGACAGAGGTGGAGCACTTACTGGAAGAACAGGAGGTCCTCACTGGTCTTTGCTCCTAGAAGGGACAATAATCAATAAGCTGCAAGTGCTACTTTTTCCGAAGAAGCAATGACCCATACCAACAACACCACTGGAGAGTCTTCTATGTCCCTGATTACTAATAACACATCAGAAGATCTCCTGGCAGATGTTGAAGTCCAATTTGCTGTGAAGCAACAGTTGCCTTTTATTAGTGCCCAGAATCAGTTCATGAAGGCAAATATTAGCAGTCACGTATAATGATAAAACCACAGTGGGCATTTTCACCATTTTGATTTGTCTTTTCTTTTTTCTTTCCTCTTCTTAAGAGTCACCAGCAGGCTCTGGTTTTTCACAAGCCCTCATAGTTAGCAAACCATGAACAGCTCTAGGAATTAAGATAGTTGAATCACACCTTCTTGGCCTCCTGCTGCTTTATTTTTCCTTTGCTGTCTTCAGTGACCCCTTTCAAATTAGGGGGAAGGGAGTACTGCTCTCTCATGATTATTGTCTTCAACAAAAAGAGAAGCTCAGTATCACACTAACAGGTTAATTACTGCATTGATTAGGACCAAGAAAGACCACAAACCCTGTGACAAACTCTCACATGTCCAACCCACTGCTCATGGCTGCAGAAAACGAAACTGAGCAAGCTCAGCACATGCAGGATTTAAGAAAACACTTCCCCTGCTTGCAGCCCACAGCCAGAAGCCAATAAAGCCAGGTGGCGGCTCAAAAGGTCATAGTAAGCAGCTCAAGTGGTCCACTACAGGCAAAAGAACTGCCTCAGGAGCACACCACCCTCACCTGGCCACATGCATATTGCATCTCTGCTTATGAGAGGTGACTAAGCCAAAACAAAAGGCCACTTTTGATTGGTTTTCATCAAACACACACAGAAGAGGGAAAAAAAAAAAAAAAAAGAAAAAAAGGCAAACAAAATATTTGGGAAAAAACATATAGTGTAATTTTTAGAAATGTATAAAATATAAAATATAAAAATATTGTACTACCAACTACTACTGTTGCCTGCAGAAAACATGTAAGTTGATCATTTGTTGGCTTTTAAAAAGTGTTGGGAAGACAGCCTCCGGCAAATCAGAGTATTTTACTGATTTACAACTATTTTTCTTGAAGATGATGGGAGAGGAGCAAAAAAGCACCTGTGCTTTAAGTAGAGAACAGAACTGAAACGACAAAATAAAATTTCTAAAAACCTAGCAGACAAGTGAACTGCAGAAACAGTTTTAGCTTCTGTTTAGAAGGAAACCGAAACACCCCATAACAGACTTGGTATAAATCATGCTGTAATGTTTTCTTCTGCCAAACATCAGACAATACACTGTTTCCTGGGGAAAAAAAATAAATACTGCTTAAGGTTGAACTACAAGGAGGGCTTGGTTCTTTAACACTGAAGTGCCTCCCAGCTCACTGCAGTGAGCCACATGAAGACAGTGAACTAATGGTCCCTGGTAAACATCTTCAGAACTACCTCAGTGAGTTTGCCAAGACTCTGTGCTTTGAGACTCAGGGGAACTTTTATACTGACACAGCCATCGAGAGAGTACAGGACACTAATATGAAAGTGATCACTAACCCAAGTCTGTTTTCTCTGCCAGGAATGTCTGTCTAAATGTTTTGGGAAGCTGGCTGGTTAGTTCATGAGAACAGGGTGATAAGAGCCCAGTCAGGAGTTTTTGATGTTAGTAGCAAGTTACTCCCATCATTCTCAGATGTGAGAGGAAGAAAATATTTACCAGGACTCACATGAGCTAGGTTTGTTTTCTTTTATTTTTAAGTCCTCCCAGGAGGCTAGTTAGGAGTGGGGAAATGGCCAACCTTACCACAGAGCTCCTAGAAAGAGTTGAGTCAACCTCTAACAACTTCTAGGAAAACAACCACCAGCATTCCTATGGGCTTCTGAAATACATCCACTGCTCCAGGGGAAAACTAATTCGCATTCTACCTGATGCCTGTTTTTCACTGATGCCAAGAGCATATGAAGTATGTCTCCTGAAGCACATGCAGAAAGTTGCAAAGCGTTGATGGGGTACTTGAATTTTTTTCTCACTTTTCCATCTGCCTCTGCAGATGGAATAAGCAAGATAATTCTTTTAACTACACTATAGACAACTCAGAAGACAGAAACACCAAACCTATACCTCTTGAAAACCACTTTTTTTTTTTTTTCATTTAGCATTTCATTTTATCCATTCAAACACAATACAGGACTGCAGGTGTACCTCTTACACAAGGCGGAGCACCAGCTCCTTACCGCACACCTTGTGATGCCTACAGGAAAGGCTGAAGCAAAAAATCGCGAACATAAGGCTTGCATCGCAGAGCTTAAACACAAGGGACTGGTATTCCCCACACTGCGAGTCCAGAATCCTAAAAGCTATTACCTTTTTTTTTTTTTTTTCGGTTTGGGATTTTTTTTCCCCTTTTTTCTTTAATATTACCTCTCAATAACATCTCCCTGGACTGCCATACCCTACGGAGAAGTACAGTAAATAAACTTCTGCGTCCTTCAGGCGATCGGCGATGGGTGATGTTTCCGGAGCCTGCGGATCGCATTGTCCCCGCTCAGGCACCCGCAGCACGCTAATTAATTGGCGTTAATCGGTTCTGCGGGACCGATGGGTCTTGCTACGAGACGAGCAGCAAGCTGCCAGCCGGACCCCGCCGCTCGACCCCCTCCCCAGCCCCGAGCCCCGCCGACCCCGCGGCCGCTCCCGCCGGGGCCGCGGGCGGCTCCGCGCGGCCTCCCCCGCTCCGCACGGCGCCTCCGCGGCCCAGCCACGGCACCGGCACCGGCACCGGCTCCCGCGGCCGCCCCCAGCTCTCCGCAGGGCCGGCAGCTCCCGGGCAGCGGCTCCTCGCAGCCGCCGCATCCCCGGCCCCGCGGCCGGAGCGGAGCGCGGCACTGCACAGCCCCCGCCGCCCCTCGCCCCGCTCCATTCCCTGTCGCCCTTGCCCTCCCTGCCCGCCGCCGCGCACGTGCTCACCCAGCCCGGAGCCGGCGAGCCTCCCGCATCCAGCGGCCGTGGGCCCCGGTGGAGGCGGAAGGAGACCCCGGCGCCGAGGTCGGGCGGCGGGGCAGGAGCTCCGGGGCGGGGCGGGCAGAGGGAGAGGCGGTGCCGGCGCTTCCCACCGCCCACTCGGCCCCGCTGAGGAAGCGCCACAAAGGCGGCGGGGGCAGGGCCACGCAAGGCACGTCCTGTGCCTGCGGGTACAATGCTGACAGCGTCGTCAGGCCCGGCTTTCGGTTTCTCAGAGCCCTCCAGACTGAGCCCCTCCTCCCTTTAAGCCTCTTTCCTGCCTCCCTTCCTGCCCTCTCGGGTCTCCAGGGAGATCCCGCAGCTCCCCGCTGCAGGCGCGTCACGTTTTTTGTTAAGAAAAATACAGTGGTTCTCTCACATCCTCCCACGAGTTGAGGGACCAGCTGAGACTTCAGTTAGAAGAACTGAGGGCTGAACAAGGCCCTGTAAAAGCTAGATAGATATAAAAAAAATATTTAAAAGAAAACATATTCCAGCAGTACAATACCTAAAGATTATTTCACAAAATTACCAGAAGGCTTAAAAGGTCTAAGTTAAAGTTCTAAACAGGTGACAACACTATACTGAATAGATCTCACCCAAAGTTTGTATACTGAGTAGCAGTCAGGGGTAAAAAGCTGATTATATTAAGCTGTATAGTAAGGGAAAGTAATTTTTATTAAGCTTTATAGATAAACTGTGTACTTACACAAGCATCAGGAAGCATGTCTCCAAGCCGGCTGGTGTGACTTGTAGGATATGGCACTGGCATGTGATGGAGGGCATGGCAGCTGCTGAACCCTCTCTGTCTCACAAGTTTCACTTCACTGCTGACAACAAACTACCCTTAGATAGGCCTTATATATAATCTCCTGGAGGCAAACAGTTGTTGCCTCCACGTGAGTCTCAGGAAAGGGTTCTGAGCCATGCTCAGCTTTTGTTTTCCCTTTGTAGTTACCTTTTAGCTCCAAGCCACTTGTCACCCAACCCTAAGGTGACAGGCGGGTTCTTTCCAGGATCCTGGGTAGAGCGAGAACTGGCCACAAGTCTGTAGTTATAATTAGAGCTTTATTATTATGTAAAGATTTTAGCAATCAGCGTAGCTTATTGTTACACAGGTTTTCTAGCAATTGGCAATGCTTTCCTATTACATAACATTTCTGTTAACTAGATTGGGTCAAAATTTTAATAATCAGTGCAGTCATCATAATTTAGACTCTAACTTTTAAATGTACTTGAGCCGCTCACTCAACCCTTGGAGAAAGAACAATGGAGGCCGATACTCTATCTGACCTGGTTATCACCAAATGGGTTAAAAGAAAGTTATCCAATAACATTTTGATGTGAATAAGCAGACACTTTTTTATTCAGTGCACTGAGAATATGGGGGATCAATCCTCCAAACATGTTCTCTTAAGCAACAAAATCCATTCATTTTTATGCTTTTTTTTTTTTACGTAAACCCTTTCTTAAATTTAACCTTTACAGTGATTAGTTCCATTAGTTATATATCTTTATACTAAAACAAGAATTGGTCAATTCTACTTAGCTCTACTGATTGGAATCCTTGATACTCAAATCAAGATGGAAAGGGTAAGGGGCTTTCCAAGCAGCATAAAGGGTCCAGTAACATCTCGTTGAAGTTTCATTGGGTGCACACTTCAAACACAACACTCCTAACAATCCCATACATTATGCCTCAGAATTTCCTACCTTTAAATCCCAGGTACTTCTTCTATATGATCAAATCTTGATTATTTTATCAGACTACTTGCAACATGGTGAAACAGGATGCTCTGCCTAAGTGGGGGTGAAGCAACTCAGACTTTACTCTATTTGCAAAAGGCGGTGGATGAAGAACGGGGATCAGACTGGCTTTGGTGTTGAATGCCAAGACCAGCCTGACTCAACAATCCCAAGTTAAACATGCTGAGGATGAGAAGAACAGTGATTCCTGGCAGAAACTGGCATAGGTAAGGAAGTGGCATGCAAATTTCCTGATAAAGGAACCAACAAGTGAAACTACAGATAACTTGTCTAAAGCTGCTGAGCTGACACAGCTGGCCAAGAAACATATGATTGATGAAAGTCAATCACTTTATATTATAATAGCCCAGTCCCACTCTTTTTGTTTGTTTTGGTTTTATGGGTTTGGTTTTTGTTTTGTTTGGGGTTTTGTTTGTTTGTTGTTTTGTGAGTTTTGTTTGTGGTTTTGGTTTTTGTTTTGTTGTTTGGTTTTGGGGGCTTTTTTTTTTTTTTCCATGTAGACAACAACCACAGCCTTTCCCTCATCCGCTAAGTGGATTGCCTTATCATAAAATGAGACCAGGACCTGTCTTTCATAAACCCATGCTGGCTAGGCCTGTGTAGAAACCTGGACAACAAAGAGTTAATGCACTTTTATAGCCACCAATAACCACCACTGTGCAAGTTGGAAAAGGATGTGGCTGGAGAGGGGGGCTATACAGAGGCAGAGCAACACCCTTCTGGGGCCACTTCCCTGATCTGGTCTGTGGAGACTAAACAAGACAAAAAGCAGCACAAATTCAGAGGTGAGGTCAAGAAGCAGGCATGAACTGTTGACCTAAGGATTGAGTCCAGCAAAGTCCCTCAAAGCCCCCCAAACTATTTCCAGAAAGGTCTAGAAGAACAGACGCCACATGCTAACTCATTTATAGGAAAAGTGAGAGATCTAATCCCAGGGCAGGGAAAAGTATCTATAAACTATCTATTTGGGTAGCCCCCAAAGCTCAGGTAGCACCTCCAGCACCCTGGACACCCTGTCAGCTAGATCAACACCAGACCTTGAACTGATGATCTCCTTTCCTCTCCCATCTATGCTCTCTGCATCTCTTTGTCTCTTCCCCCTACCTTTTCCCTGTTTTCTTTAATTCCCTATTTCTCTTACTACTAGAAGATAAGGGCAAAACTTATACCACTTTCCATGCCAAGTGTATAATTTACTAGTAAAACTTTGTGAGCTTTTTTGGACCCTCTGGCATTTATTGTTCCTTTTCAACCATGGGCACCTGCAAATCTTCCTCTTAGGAATGGGACATGACAGCCTAATTCCCTGGTTGTCTTGTGTGGGCTGTATGATGGCATTCAAGATGCTCTGCTCCACAACCTTCCCTGGCACGAATGTCAGGCTGGGTCCTCCTTCTGACCTTTCATGTAGGTGGGCATGACATTTGCTAACTTAGTAATTAATCTAAAGGATATATGGAAGTACAAGGGGCAACAGAAACCTGGCCAGGGGGTGTGGAAGAGTGGGGAGAGAAATAAAAGATTAAAAGGCTACTCAGAGACTGAGGTAGCACCAGCAACAAAGAAACAACATTGATAGTCCCACCATCTCATAGTATTCTTCTAGACAAAATGTCCAGCACGCAGCTAGACAAGTCCATAATATATTGCATGAACAGTTGGCTGCCCAATTGGGCTCAGAGTTATAGGAAGTGGGGTTACATCAGGCTGGCAGCCAGTCACCAGCAAGGTCCCACAGGGCTCAGTTTTAGGGCCAGTGCTCTTCAATACTTTTATAAACAATCTGGACACACAAGTCAAACATACATTAAGTAAGTTTGCTGCTGGTACTAAATTAGGAGGAGCTGTGGACTCCCTCAAGGGTGGAGAGATCCTAGAGAAAGATCTAGATGGACTGGACAGCTTTGGCAATCATCAACGGTATGAAATGTAAAAAGATGAAGTGCTGGATTCACCAGCTGGGACAGGGTAATCCTGGTTATATGTGCAAATTAAGGGATTACAAGGAGCTAAAGAGCACAGTTGCCTGTCTGAAACACTGTTAAGGCCAGAGAAGGAACTTGCCGTAAGATAAGACATGTGATAGCCATCACACTAGGAACTTGAGATAAGCACAGAAGGGAGCAACAGGAAGGAGCTAATTCCTGGAAGAAGGAGATCTGGTTAGCACATCCTGGTTAACGGATCCAGACAAAAATTCCCACTTTGCCAAACTGTGAAAGGGAAGCAACTGCACATACGCATATCACCAGTCAAAGAAAGATGACCCCAAACTATGGGATAGACAGCATCTGTGACCACCGACAACCATCAAAGATCCTCAAAATCTTGGAGGAAACATGCACAGCAAGAGGACACACCCATTCTCACTTAGCATGCAAGGAAGGCTTGCCCATCCTTGCTTCACGTGTAAATTAGGAATGTGCCTCTGTAGATACTCAGAACTTGGACTATATAAAGGTGGTACAACCAGAAGAACGACCTGGGACTCCCACCACTGAATAGCCTGGGTTGAGGATGAATCAACAGGACATAGCTGGATTCAGAGGTGATGGATTTTCTGCTTGATCTCTCTCTCTCTCCCCACCCCACCTCTTTTCTATTTCTTTTACTATTTCTATCTCTCTACCTTAAATTTATTTAAAAAAAAATCTGTATTGTTGACTTTGGCATATGGTCTCACTTGCACCTTAATTCGGGCAAAGGCATCTCTCACTAATAGGATCGTTTACAGGGAAGAGAGGCTGAAGAATAGCACCCTAAAAAGAGATCTGCTGGCTTGGGTCGGAGCAAGTAGAGGATAAGTCAGCAGTGCTCCCTGGCAGTCAAAAGGGCCAACCATGTCCTGGGCTGCTTGAGGGAGGTGATTGTCCTGCTCTACTCTGCTCTACACTGATGCAGTCTCACCTCTGCAAGGGAAGTTCTGTGTGTTGTTTTGGGCACCTCAGTATAAGAATGACATCAAACTATTAGAGAGTGACAAGAAGAGAGTGACCAAGATGGTGAACGGCCTCAAGTGCAGCACTTATGAGGAGTGGCAGAGGTTACTTGGTTTGCTCAGTTTGGAGAAGAGAAGGATGAGGGATGACCCCATTGCAGCCTACAGCTTCCTCAAGGTGGGTGTCATGAATGAGTGCTTTGGTTGCTTAAAGAATCACCATCAAAGGTATTAACAAAAGAAGGGTTTATATATTTTTGTGAAAGCATGACTTAAGAGAGTTAAACGGTAAGGCTCACTCTATTGCTACATAGATAAAGCATATAAAGGAAAACTGGATCAGAACTTGTTTAAAATCACAGAGTC